CATTTTTTAGCCGAACTTTAAATCAAACACAAAGAAACTATTCCGCGACCGAGAGAGAGGCACTTGCAGTTCTGTTAGCAGTGCAAAAGTTCCGAGTCTATTTTGGAAAGGCGCCGATAACAGTATACTCTGATCATGCGGCGGTAACTAGATTGTACTCAGGGAAAAAATTTATCCCCAAGGTTAATAAGATGGGCACTCAAGCTGCAAGAATATAATCTGGTAATCAAGCATACCCCCGGAAAGGAAAATATCGTAGCAGATGCCCTATCACGAATTAAATTAGACGAACAGGTAATACCGTAAAAGTTGGCAATGCTTACAGCGTGTACAATAAATTCCCGAGAAACTGTAATAACCGAACTGGGTAAGGATCCTGAGTTTGGAAGTATTTATGAGTATTTGAAGGATCCTGAAAATTTTAGCCACCAAGATATTGTGGCGATAAGAAATAGGGCGGCCCATTACGAACTAATAGATGGTCTATTATTTTATACAAAAACTACGAATTCCAACAACGAATTTCGACCTGTTATCCCAGCTAGTCTTAGATTAAATATCCTGCAAGGAGCTCCATGACAGCCCTTTAGCTTCTCATGCTGGTATTCGAAAAACTATCCAACGCGTACGCGAGGCAGTCTACTTTCCTGAACTGCAAAAGTTAACAAGGGCGTATGTCCAGTCCTGCCCAACATGTCAAGCCGTTAATTATATTAATTTCCGCCCGGCCGGGTTTCTAAATAGTATTAAATCCGAATTTCCAAATGAAATAATTGGCATCGATTTATTGGGCCCTTTCCCAAAAAGTCAGTTAAATAAAAGTCGCTATCTCCTTGTTATGGTTGATCATTTTAGTAAATGGACCGAAATTGTTCCCTTAAAACGAGCCTCCGCGAAATTAGTTACTGATTCTATTTTAAATAAATATATTTTAAAATACGGGGCGCCCCTAAAAGTTATATCGGATAATGGTCCTCAATTTGTAAGTAATATATTTGAAGACATGTGCCAAAAACTGGGCATACGTCATTTAAAAATGGTCCCGTATCGGCCGCAATCAAATATAGCGGAACGGGTCAACAGAAATATAGTGAAAATTATCCGTAGTTATGTTAAAAATTTTCATAAAAGCTGGGATAACTATGTCAATGAATTTGCTTTCGCCCTTAGGACCGCAAAACATGATACAACGGGCAAAAACTCCTGCTGAGTTATTTCTAGGCAGAAAGATTATAACACCCGTTAGATAAATTATTTTATGTGCAACAAAGAGCCCCAGAATTTAAAATGGGTGATATAGAAAAACTAATAAAAGAAGCAAAAAAGAATACGGAAGTAGCACAAAGAAAACAGAAGTTATATTATGATTTGAAACGACGGGGAGTAACTTATAAAGTAGGGGATGAAGTTTTAAAAATTAAGCATTCACTTTCTTCAGCACCAGAAGATAAAACTGCCAAATTTTTTCCACGATTTGAAGGACCATATGTTATAGAAAAAATAACTCACGCTGTTGTAGTGTTAAAAGCCAGAAATGGTGAAACCTGTTCCGCAAACATTGATCAAATTAAGCCCTACTTCGATCGTAATAAAATGCAAATCTTTTCAGATCTTTTGCAGGATCCGGCACGGCAGACACCGCAGGTACAAGTTCCAGAGGTGGGAAAACGACAAGTACAAGGGCAAGCCAATGAGAGACAGAAGCAAGTGAAAAGAAAATTGCCCCGCGGAAAAATTGAATGTAACAAAAAAAGAAGCCGTTCCACCGTCCAGAAAACAGAGTTCACGAACACCCCCAGAATGAAGAAGGGAGAAGGACGACGTATGTGAAGAGGACCAGGAGAAATGACGGCAACTATAACCCGGCTTTAAAACGGAAGATCGACTCATCCGACAGAACTCTCCGCAGCAAAAGTCGCCGAACTGCGGAAGGGCCATCAGCGGCGGAGGAAAAAGTACAAGGAAAAATTTGAACGGCCAACAACGAGGTCCAAGCAGGATCACGACAGAAGTTTCCCGGTTCCGCCAAGACCAGCTGCCTTCAAACGGCCAAGACCACAAGCAGAGGAGAAAAGGAAGGTGTTTCAAGGGTGGCCGAACTGGTGAAAAAACGGAAGCTTCCAGAGGAAGCACTGAAGGGCGAGCCCGTACAAGAAGGAGGATCAAACCAAGCTACTATCTGCAGTACCTTTAAAGACTGGGCCCAGAAAAGGATGTCCGAATATTACAAAGATAAGTAAAATTTTATGTTACTTTGCAAACTTAAGTTAATCTTTCATTCTTACTGCAAGTGGCAGATTTCAAGAAGTTTTACCTCAGGCGAGGTCTACCTTTATCGCCAAAATAGCGAGAAATGAGTTGTGACCGATTTTCTTATTATGTTTTTCAATTACTCGCGCGTAAAACTAAAGTTGATGTATAATAGCGTTGTGTAAAGAATTAAATATTGTAAAAAGTTATTGTATAAATTTTATTTAAAACATTCTAGCAAGAAAGAAGTTTTAGTCTGAAAGACTTTTTTTGAAATGTATTATTTCAATGTAGAAAGAATTGGCACTTGCTTTGAAAAGAATAGAAGTTAACAATGTACTACTAATGTATGTTTTCAAATCTGTAAAATTAACGGCATGTTGATATGTTCTGTTATTTTAAATGTTAAGAAATACCGTGATATGGTAAAAGTGAAAGTAATGTTAAAAATTTGTTATTCGTGTGACTGTAAAGACTAAATCATGGCGAATATGTGGTTAAAGGTTGAATGATGTAGTTAGGCTCTCTGACGCTACACTTTAGAGTTAGCCACTTTTAGAATAGTACCTCAGGGTTTAGAGTTGAAATTAGGGTGTGTTAAGAGGTCTCGTTATGTTGAATTTTAACACGTTAGTGTTTTGATTGTAGGAGGAAGTGTGGAACACGTAGACAGAAACACATTCGTGTTTGGTGTTCTTTTACAACACATGTCAGAGAGCACGGGGAGAGATAATTAAAATAGTCATGAATGAAATAAGAATGTTAAGAGCAAGTATAATTCTATATGTTACTTGCCATGTCATTGTGTAACATTTCATTAAACTAGTTTTCCTTCCAGATCTCTGGAAGGAACCAGAATTGAATAAAAGCGCTCCTGGTTTAGATGCAGTACAGATGAAAAAAAAGATTGTTGTATATCCTGGGAGCTGCTATTGTAACAAATTTTCTTCTTTTTTAAATTTCTAGTTTCTAGCTAAGTTGTGTTTGTAAAAGGTTGGCCTCGCGTTAGATTCTAGAGCTAAAAGTTTTCAACAAGGTCGTTTTAGACCTCAGTTTCAAACTAATTAACTCTGGCGGGAAGTATGTAAGGATCTTAAGTTTTACTAACGTTTATTTTATTTTAAATCTTTACTATCACTTCTTATTTTCTACTTCCGGCCAGAATTATAAGCGTGAAGGATTTTATGCAAAGTTTGTCTGGCGAACGCCAAGTACTTAAGTTGTGGCTTTTTGCCAAGCGAAAGAGAGAGGAAGCAGTGAGTTCGAAGCAGGCCGCTTACCTTAGAAGTTACGCAGTTGCTGTTTGCCTTCCAGGCCAGAGGTTTTAATCCTCTTGATAAATTAAAAAACGTATTGTAGTGTTCACAGTCTCTGTGCTACATACGCTTCCTGTTATTATAAGGCCAATCTTCCACGTGTATTATTCTAAAGTTAAATTAGAGTTTAGTTTTATTTTGATACCTTTTACGTTAGACCCCGAGTGGAGGGTCATTGTATTCCGAAGTACGGAAGTCATTGTATATAAAGAAAAAAAATAAAGGGTTTTGTATACCCTTCGTCTGTATCCTGTCTACTTACTACAATTAGTGAACATAGCTTTAGTAAGCTCTCTGTTCCTAGTCAGGTCCTTGTATGTTCCCGAAGAAGGTTAGAAGGAACATTGAACCTGATAAGGTTTCTTTCTAGCTGCCCTTCCATAATAACTTCCTCTATGTCAAACATTCCGTACAGTCCGTACACTAAAAATGTTATGCGATGTACTATTAGCAACATCTTTGGCTAACCTGGGTGCACTTATTTTAGGGTTTTTCTTAATCTCTTTGATAATGCCACGTTTTATCTTGCAGAATATATTCGAAGCCGTCCACTTCTAATCTTATTTTCGGTCGATCCTGTCTCTTTGAAGTTTTTAGAACATTTCTTAACAGTAAATAAATGTTGAAATTTTTACAACATTTCTTAACAGTAAATAAATGTTCGTTTGAAATCCTATAGCACGATAAGTTAAACCCTCATTTCTGAGCTGAATAATTATGTTTTTAACATTAGCATCCATTTCCTTCGACTTCGAAGCCAGTTTATGACAGTATTAGCAAAATAACGTTTTAAAAGAGCACTGCAGACATTATACAGTGTTCAAGTAACATAACTGCCTTTCAGTATTATTAATATATTTTTAGAATTTGAAAATTCATATATTATTCGTATAAAAATACTTTCCACAAAAAATGCCGCAAAATTATAAATAAAAGAATGCCCGTGCTACTAAAATCACAAGAGAATGTCACTGAATGACATTAAAGAGGGAAAAAATTTGACCTCGAATTATCTTTATTTTTAAAAAAATCTAAAACTTTTAAATACCTGGTAATTACATATGCTAAACGTAGTTGTGTTTTAATTTTTAGAATGAGTATGAACTAAATATAATGGTAAATTCCATAATACTTATTTTTAGACTGCATTTTCATGCACTTTAATCTTACCCTTTAGTTAGATTTCACAATTTTAATACAAATTATTTTTTTTTAATTTAAAAGTACCACAACATGAATATTTGTGTCATTTAAAATATTTTACCAACTAACGGGTCCGAAAATAAAGGCTTAATAAAATAAAATAAAGGTTTTTATGGATACAGTATGCACTGAACATTCCTGCAATCATATAAAATAGTTCTAAATTCCTTCTTCTGTAGTAGATCACTTTAATAACTTACTGCATAGTAAAAGAGTGATTTTTTTCTTTAGGTATGAACTGAAACTTCAAGCTGACTTGGCATTTGGATCTTTAGAGGAAAGATAACAAGTGGTTTGGAATGATTGGCTCAATGCTCGAAAATGTCAGAGTTTATTATCTTATTATAAAATATTTGATTCGTTATGAAATATTTCCTTAAAGTCTCAAAAAACTCTTCACAGTTTCCTGTAATGCAGATCAGTTTTGATACTCACTTTATTAGCGACAGGGCTTAATTTCTAAAATTAGAAGTGCCGGAGCCCTATGGAAGACTGAGGAACGAGAGAAAAAGTAATAAAAAATCTGAAAGCTTTTTTTCTTTTCCCCAGACTTTACATTGAGACCAAAAGGGCGTTTTTTTAACATTTCGTGTGTTACCTTTATTTATCAAATATCACGTTCTTCGCACTTAAACCGTAAAATTCAGTTCAAAAGCAATATCGCAAAATAATTTTAAATTGAGCATATAATTTAGAATTTTCAAAACGCAACTTCGCGCGGTGGAGATAAAAACGTTTTTTTTTTTTTTTTTTTCGTACAGTGTTGCCATTTTCCGCTTTGAAATACTAGTTGAGGTTCTTAATCAAAATTTCTTTCTTTCTCTTCTATCCGCATGTGCAACTAAAAGTCCGGAAAATTCCCAATCTAGTCATCACATGAACACTTAACCACCGCACAGAGCGAATTACTCTGAATCTACAGTGGTGGCCAAAATTGTGGACACTTTTGGAAATTTTTATGTTTTTTAACTTTGTATGCTCATAGAAAACGTTACGTTTCACAAAATGCAAACTTGTATACATCATTTTAAAGAGAATTTATTACTGAATTCAATACAAAACACAAAATTCAATTATTTGCAATACAAAAAAAGTTAAACGATAATAGTTATCGATATACATTAGATAGTGATGATTGCAGTGAGTTATCAGTATTTAGTAGGGTACCCTTTATTTTTGATTACAGCTTCGCATCGACGTTTCATTGAGCTGACAAGAGTTTTAAGCTCTTCTTTCGTTATTACATGATGCCAGGAAACAATTATAGCCTCAATTAGTTCCCTTTTATTTGATGGGCGCCTCATTCGGACAAGAGTTTTCAAACGGTGCCACAAATTTTCGATAGGATTGAGGTCAGGACTGTTTCCTGGCCATGACAGCAATTTAATGCTCTTTGTACGAAATCACTCTTTCGATATTTTGGCCGTGTGACAAGGAGCAGAATCCTGCTGAAAAATAAACGAGGCATTGCTGGGAAAGAGATCTCTGATGGAAGGTAGAAGTTTTGGCTCTAGAATAGTGTCAATGTATTTTCTGGCATTCAGTGTCCCATCGATGACATGAAGGCGACCCATACCATCTGCTGACATGCATGACCACATCATAACACTACCTGGGTTCTTCACGGTTGCTTGAATGCAGTCAGGATGTAGCTCTTCTCCTATTCTACGTCTTACATATTTTCGCCCATCACTACCGAATAACGAAATCTTAGTTTTATCACTCCATATAACTTGTGACCACTGATCATCTGTCCAATTAATGTGTTCCTTTACCCACTGTAGTCTTTTTTTCGTTGCTGAATTAATTTTCAGATAAGGCTTTTTTCGTGGAATTCTACCTCTCAGTCCAACATCTGTTAATCTTCTCCTGATTGTTCTTGAACTGACAGAAACACCAGCATCATTCAGATCACTTCTGATGGTCGCTGATGGCATTTTCTATCTTGGAGACATAGTCTTTTTATTCTTCTGTCATCAGTAGATGTGGTGCACCTTTTTCGGCATTTTCCTTCTTTGTTTTTTATTGAATTTGTCTCCTGATATCGTAAACAAAACTTTCGGACTCCATATGTAGTCACTGAACCACCCACCTTTCTTGCAATTTCAGCATAGGAAAGACCACTTTCTCATAACATAATAATATTACATCTCTCTCTAAGTGTCCAATCTACTCTTTTATTTGATGTCATTGCTTCTTGACCTATATATTAAAATATTTACAAAAAATTCTTACTTGTAATTGCAGTGTATACGAAACAGGTCCTCCTTCTACAGAACAAAGCAAATAATGAATTGTTTCAAGTGTAAACATGATGTCAGCTTCTACTGGCAGTTATTAACATTTGACTGGTTCTCAGAACAAGAACAGTGATTGGCCAGGAAAGGTAGACATTACAAACTACTTCATAACTGTGTTCTTTATTTATATTAAAGTACATATAACTTTTTTGTATTGCAAATAACTTAATTTTGTGTTTTGTATTAAATTCAGTAATAAATTCTCTTTAAAATGATATATACAAGTCTTCATTTTGCTAAAAGTAACGTTTTCTATAAGCATACAAAGTTCAAAAGCATATAAATTTCCAAAAGTGTCCACAATTTTGGCCACCACTGTAAGCTATACCTGAAACCATGGAAAATAAAACTTTTGATCTTAATGTTAAGAGCCTGATCAAGTAAAAATATATACATTCAAACCCGTTTTTGTGATGTTTATATAGACCGCATAAAAGAAAACGCATAAAAAAATCGCATGAAACTTGACAAATAGATATAAAAAATAGTTTTCGCAACTCGATTAAAAAGTATTTGTTATGCGTTGAATATAGGGACCGTGTAAAAATGTCTCACGTGGAAAATAACTCGAAACCTTAGGAAATAACTTGTAATTGCTTTTTAATACGAAATCAAGACACGAAGCTTGACAGCTACTTGGAATCTCGACAAACCTTTTAAAATCTGATTTATAAAATACACATGCGAACACTTTTAACCCTCTGAGCGGCATTATTCGATCATGAGATTTTTTGTTACTTGACACATATTAGCTTATAAAGATATTTTGTTTTCTTTCTTTAATAATGTATATGTAATCTTAATGAATGTAAGTTTATGAAAATCGAGGTTAAATAAGTAATTATATAAATTTAGCTAATAAATGCTGCATAAATACATGCCTTTATGACAAAAACCCGTGCTGCTCAGAGGGTTAAATATTTCATTTACATATGCATTTATTTTACACATACAAAACTTTTCAAAATGTATAACCAATATCCTTCGTAATCTGACAATACGCGAATTTTCTTGTGGTAAATTGGTTCAAAATCACTTTCGTCACTTGAATATACTACTTCGCACTCTTTTAGAGTTGAGTTTTTTTCATTTACTATGTAGTCGGTAATTAGTTTTTGTGACGACTGTTGTTTCACTAGACGCTTGTATATGTCTCGGTAGTCAAATATACAAGGTTGAAACTCCTTTTGGAGTTTTGAAGTTCTTTCAGAATTTGCCTCAATTACAAGAAAATGACATTTTGGCTAATCTTTAGAATATGGTAACAGGTAGTTTGGCGACATTTTGGTAAGGCAATAAAGGTTACTAGATAGGACTTTAGCAATAATCTGAGAAGTATTCGAATGACACATTATTTTGTCTCAGAGAAATAAGAGATCATGAGACATGTCATGTGACATTTTCCGGAAAATTCCGATCGTGATTTTAGCAAATAAGCACTTAGAAACAATTTCGCTGCTAAAGTACAGAATCGCCCACTTATTTGTTTGGCGCATTTCACAAGAGTAAGAAGAATTGGATTTTTGTCAATTTTCTTTGACCTTTGTGAGTGAAAATAAGTCGATGTGTACATAGATAAAGAGTGGGCGAAATGCCATTTTTGTGCAATTCTGGGATGTTTTTTAAGTCAAAATAGGTTGAAATGTACATGGATACCGTGTATGTGCAATTCTTAAAAACGCGGGCAGTGGCGTAGCAAGCATAACTGGCGCCCGGGGCAAAATACCTTATTGGCGCCCCCCCCCCAAAAAAAACTTCCAGTATATAATGTATAGAATATATTCGCAATAAGAAAATAATGTAAATGATAATAAAATGCTGAATCTGCTATAAAATACTCAAAAATATATTAAGAATAGTCACTACCTAACTACAATAGCCTTGGATTCGGAAATGCATCTGTGTCAGCGAAAAAAATCAGACATACGATGATCTAGAATTAGTTAAATTATTTATTTTGCATATTTACATAAGTGTTTTTAAAAAGCACAATTTTTAAATATTTAAAAGTTTAATATACATTATAGATAAATAGATATGTGGTAACTTGCCTACTACAACTCAACTCTGCCAGTCTGGTAACCCATAGCAACCAAAAACAAAATAATATTTATTCTATTCAATTGTTATAATTATTTAACGATCTGTCTCAAAAAATTGTACTACCATAATTGGTGAACCGTATTTATTACGAATAGCAACCTTCAATGTTGCACGAATATGGAGTTTATATGTCAAAATTCTGAGCACCAGTAAGTTATTCAGTGTGATGAGATGCAAGTAAGACATTTCACCTGTGATTTCAAGCGTTGTGACGCATTCCGGTGAGTCAACATATTTCTGTCATAATTTCGGTGGATATATGTATCGTCTGAGATTCAGTCTGGTCGCCAATTTCTCCTGATTTCAAGTACCAAAAACTGTGTTCACTATATACATATTGATTATTTTTCTATACATATTATTTTACTGTGCATATTTGATTAGATCTAAAATGGTTGACAACGATGCTGCTTACAATTGGAGCGAGAGTGGCAGTTAAGCCACCACCTTTTTGTCGCCGAGACCCATCGTTAGGGTTCATTCAATTGGATGCGCAGTTTAAATTGAGTCACATTACTGCCGACGAAACTCAATGTTATGCAATGTTCGCCGCGTTAGAATCAGAGGTACTGCAATCAGCTAGTGAAATAATTTTGAATCCATTGGCGACGGACAAATACAAATCTTTTTTAAAAAAAATTAATTTCTGTTTATGAAGAATCAATCCGAGACAGTTAAAATCAAGCAGCTGTTGCACGATTTACAGTTGGGTGATATAAGGCCTTCACAATTGCTGTCTAAAATGTCAGACGTAGCCGCCGGTAACCTAACATTCTTAAAACATTATGGATGAATAGACTCCCATCTAGCATGCAAACCATTTTAGCGGCCAGTAGCGAGCCACTTAAAAATCTTCCCGAAATCGCTGATAAAATTCACGAGCTGGCCATTTCAGGGCAAATAGACGCAGTGCAGGCTCC